GGAGGAAGCGGGACCCGGCGTCCGGCCCGGCCGTCCCCATTGTTCGGCCCTAGCGCTGCGGCTCGGCTCGCATGTCCTTCCCGAACTCCCCAAAGCTCCCGTGGGGCTGGGCCAGCAAGTTGTAGGGTGAGATTGGCCAGCGAGGGCTTCGCTAGGAAAGATCTCGTAGGAAGGAGGCTTTGCAGCGTGCTACAGAATGGAAGGGATCTGGGCGAGCATGCAAATCGTACAGTCAAAGAAAAATGGAAGCAGCGTAGATAATGTTTATAAAATGATGAGTGGGTCAGCGAAAATACAATGTTTTCTGGATCTGGAGAGTTAGAGCTATCGTGTAATGTTTGAAATAGTTTTAAAATATAAGGATTCGAAAATGATGGTCAGAATTCAAAGGAGTTCGGAAAAGCACGTCTCGCTGTTCCTGTTTGTTATTACTCAGTTCTTTGTTGCATTAAAGAAGTTTGATTTTAAAAGGAAGGGTTGAGCTGGTCCTAACAAAAATGGACTCCGTTTCTTATGGTGAAATGCATTTTCAAAATAGCTGAATTTTAAAAGGGAAAAACATCTAAGGTGTCTTTCCACCACATTTTGGAAACAAATAATTGCAACCCAACCTAGGAAACTGCTTGTTTTTCTTTGTGAGGCATGTGGGAAAAATATTTCTGGGCGAACGTCATAGTTAAAAAAAAAAAAAAAAAAGATTTTCAGCAAGTGATCCGCAGTCTTGCAGAGAAGACCGAGATCATCGTGCTGCGTACAGAGCTGAAGGAATAATTTCAGAGCTGTGGCCCAAACCTTACAAGGGCCGGAAAGTAGTTTCGACTTAGAAGTTATAGTAGATTTTGCAGAAATTCTTTCTCAAATACTCCTGACTAGTCTTTATATTATGCAGCTGTTTCCCAAGGTGGGGTTAAAAAAAACCAATTAGAATTGATCTATGGTGGAATATTATATTTACCCGTCATCAGGAAAACATTTGACAAGAGTTTTGAATTACAAGAAAGAAGTTAACAGATGATATGTTCATAAATAGCATCTGCTAGTAAAGACCCCTTAAGAGTCAGTGAAAGGTACTGATGGCTGTGATTTTGCATTTGAAATGCTATAGAAGTTGTTTGCATTTTAACACTTTTATTTTGCGGGGGTTTCTTTCTAAACTTGCATTTCCACGTGGAAAATAATTCAGTTATTTCGCGGTACAAGGAGAGATTCTTATGCAAGAAGTCATTTGAGGTGTGAGTATGGAAGGGTTTGAACAGAGAAAAAATCGGGGCTGAAAATTATTTTCGGTCGGCTCATTCCATTCCACACTACCCCCCCCCGTTCCCCCACTCCTTGTATTCAATTTACATTTTTATTTATAAGCCTTTGCATATTTAGAATGGCTTTGTAAGTCTATTTCTTATGTAGCTGATAGAAGGTCAGTCTTTTTACACCGTTTACTATTTCAGGTGTTTTTCATTTAAAGTAAAAAAAAAAAAGTTACAAGTCAGGATATACTTGTGAGAAAAACCACAAATGGGCGGAAAAAAAGGCCTGAATGGGGGTGGGGATCTAGAGGCACAAGTAGCATTCCTGATCAGTCTTTGTGATACCTTTCTTTAGTATTATGTTGCTGTATTTTCCACTTCTGCTTGCACCAGCCTTCATTGCTTTTTTAATTGGGGTAAAGTGCCACCATATAAAAACTACCTATTTTCTATCTTGCAATCACTAGAGTAAAAACTGACAAAAAGTGATTCGAAGCTTGTGTGTTTCATACGCCAGGAATGCCTCAGCTCCGTAAGATTCACCCTATTGGATTATGTTGGTCTGTGTCACTGTTACTGTACAATTTCAAAAGGTAAATGTCCACATTATAGATTTTTAAAAATCTAAGATGTACTCGACAGTTTATTAATTGAAGGAATAAAAAATGAATTTGTCAAACTCATTCTTTTTGGGACACAATGCACTTAATTAACATATTCTTGGGCTTCTTTCTGGATTTAGTAAGCAGTGGCCCCTTCTCTTTCTGAGAGGAAAACATTTAAATCTTTAAGAGTGTCCTTCTTTGGTTCAAATAGCATTTGGCAATTCAATTAAATTTCTTCTTTTTCCTTTTTTGCAATTCTAGATGTTTCATTTCTTTCAAGGTTCTCTTCCATTTTAAAAACTGATTTTCCTCTTTCCATGCCCACAATCTTTTTCACTTAATTTTATTGTATCTTATAAACAAACACCTAAATATGTCACTCGCATCACACTTTAGTTATAACAGCTGCAAATTTCAGCATCAGTAAAAAATGGAACATGGATCTTAGTCTCATGCTTGCATTATATTCATGATACCCTGAGGAACCAGAGTAGGATGTTTAAGTATTGTTTTATCACACATGAAAAAAAAAGTCCAACTCTGAAATGCTTGAGATTTATGTAACATCTAGAAGATCTAAAAGCATTTTTGAGATACTATATTTCTATTAGTAATTGCAAGTTCTTTACCCCGCCCCCGTGTTAATGGGCGGAAAAAAAGGCCTGAATGGGGGTGGGGATCTAGAGGCACAAGTAGCATTCCTGATCAGTCTTTGTGATACCTTTCTTTAGTATTATGTTGCTGTATTTTCCACTTCTGCTTGCACCAGCCTTCATTGCTTTTTTAATTGGGGTAAAGTGCCACCATATAAAAACTACCTATTTTCTATCTTGCAATCACTAGAGTAAAAACTGACAAAAAGTGATTCGAAGCTTGTGTGTTTCATACGCCAGGAATGCCTCAGCTCCGTAAGATTCACCCTATTGGATTATGTTGGTCTGTGTCACTGTTACTGTACAATTTCAAAAGGTAAATGTCCACATTATAGATTTTTAAAAATCTAAGATGTACTCGACAGTTTATTAATTGAAGGAATAAAAAATGAATTTGTCAAACTCATTCTTTTTGGGACACAATGCACTTAATTAACATATTCTTGGGCTTCTTTCTGGATTTAGTAAGCAGTGGCCCCTTCTCTTTCTGAGAGGAAAACATTTAAATCTTTAAGAGTGTCCTTCTTTGGTTCAAATAGCATTTGGCAATTCAATTAAATTTCTTCTTTTTCCTTTTTTGCAATTCTAGATGTTTCATTTCTTTCAAGGTTCTCTTCCATTTTAAAAACTGATTTTCCTCTTTCCATGCCCACAATCTTTTTCACTTAATTTTATTGTATCTTATAAACAAACACCTAAATATGTCACTCGCATCACACTTTAATTATAACAGCTGCAAATTTCAGCATCAGTAAAAAATGGAACATGGATCTTAGTCTCATGCTTGCATTATATTCATGATACCCTGAGGAACCAGAGTAGGATGTTTAAGTATTGTTTTATCACACATGAAAAAAAAAGTCCAACTCTGAAATGCTTGAGATTTATGTAACATCTAGAAGATCTAAAAGCATTTTTGAGATACTATATTTCTATTAGTAATTGCAAGTTCTTTACCCCGCCCCCGTGTAAAGGCAGCCGATTAAGATCAATTTTACAGCAAAAGGAATAGCTCTGAAGCCAAATACAAGATGAAGCCAAACACTTTTAAAGTAAATATTAGACCTTGATTATGAAAAAGATTTTTAATTTAGATTATGCAGGCTTTAAATTTGAAGGTTGTCTAACTAAACTTTTCAAAAGTTCAATCTAGTCAGTAAATAATATTAATTATGATTTTTAGAGTCTTTAGTAATGCAGTGATGAAACTTACATGAAAGGTGGTTAGCATTTTAGGCCTGTTTAAATGTAGACAATTTTAATTCTAAATTATCTGGTAAAATTTCACAAATATTAATTTCAATTAGTGAAAATCTTTAAAGAAACTAATTTATCTGAAAATTTCTGTCAATCATGACTTGGAAATTTTAGTTAAATTGTGCATATAAAATAAAGCCATGCTTTATTCTAAAGAATAAAGGATAAAGCTGGGACTGCAATTAGCTTTTAAATAGCAATATTGTGTAGTAAATAAACAAGTATTGTGGGCCTACTATGTGCAAGACACTTGCTAGGTGCTACTGTAAGTAAAAAACAACAACAAAAAATCTAGTCTCATAGATAATCATGCTTCATTAAGTGAGAACTTGCAAAAGCCATTAGCAGAATCTCAACTAAAACTATAACTGAATATCCTTTAAAGAAAATTTGAATACATGATACATAAAGGTACCATGTGTGGGTTTGAATCTATGAGGTAAATAACAAAACGTTGCAGAAATACATATTTTAATCAAACTGCCATAAATACACAGGGTTAATGATACACTTTGCATAAAAGGAAAAACTCTTGGGAATCAAATGTATGTTGAAGAGGATGTATCTGAAAGTCTACAGTTCATAAGGAGTTAGTTGCCTTTTAAAATTTTCCAAGTAATTATTTGGAAACAAGATTATAGTTTCTGATGAGGTTTAATAACACATGAACTCTAAGTGTTTGTTGTATAAAACTTAGTTTCAGGGCCGATTCAGAGTGTCAAAGTCAGGAATCTGACAAATATACCTCAGTTCCTATACCTCACTATAGAAATATACTTTAACAATGGGTCTCATATACTAAATATAATATGGACAAATAGAAGGCATATTAAACTTAAATTTTAAAAGGTGATTAATTCAAGCAATGTTAACATATATGAGCCAAATATAGTTTTAAATGTTTCTTTCACAGCATCTACTTATGTAAATGATTATGGAACAGCAAATTGAAAAAATTGCTGCCTTGGTTAGGGACTGAAGAAAATTATAAGAAGATATATTACCCATAGAGTAGAAATACATTTTCTCATTATGGGAGGGTTAGAGGTTACATCATAAAATACTTTACTTGAGTTTTTTTGCGGTTTGCCTCAGATGATTAGTTTAGAGAAATAGATGAGCCAGTATTGTGTTAGTGGTTTTATATGAAGGTTATTAGGGACAATAGACTTTTGTTTTATTTTACTGATACTAGATATACTTGGATATTTTGAGAATATGGAATTTGATTTAAATGGTAACACTCACTATTTAAGTTATTGTTTTTCTATGAAGTGATTCTATAAATCTCATAATTTATTTTTTATCACTCACTATTTTAAAAAATTCAATTGAACAATTGGCAAATTATAAGTTTTATTGATTCTTATATATGGTAATTAGCATATTATGCAACTGTATTTACATCTAATAAAAGACAAGTGCAACTTTTTCATTGTTGTAGCTTCTATATCCCAAACAGTCCGTGGCACTCAGTAAATGTTCAATAAATATTTACTGAATGAATAATCCACTGTATATTTGAATGATTTTATACTGTCTGCGATTCTTCCTTTTCATTTAATATTTGATAGAAGCACATCATTTCCTCCAGATGTATAAGAAAAAGTTCAATATCTGGTACATGAGTTAAAATGAAAATGACGACCTTTTATACCCATTGTTTTTTTTCTAACCATTTTTATAACTCAATATACCTTGTTAAAAATCAGCTTTAAATACTTAGAATCATATTTTGTCAACATTTATGCAGTTATTTAAATTTTCACTTAAAATTTATGCTTCAGATACTATAATATATATAGCCTGATATAAACTGGTGTATTTTTGTTATTTGCTTAAATTTCAAAACCTATTGCAAATAACAATTTCTTTGTTTTGTATTAGAAAGAGTATGTTTTACCTACATTTCTTTTATTACATGTTACAGGATAAGGTAAGGTACCTATCCTTTTTTACATACAAATTAATTCCATTACAAGAAGTTAGCTCCAACACATTATATATAAAATGAATGAGGGTCGGGGATTTAGCTCAGTGTTTCCACTGCTGCCTGCCTCAAAAGCACAAGGTCCCGAGTTCGATCCCCAGTACCAAAAAAACCCAAAACAAACAAACAAAAAAATGAATGTATTTTTAAATAATTGAGTGCATGCAGGCTTGACTGCATGTTTGGAAAGGGAAATTTCACATTGATTTTAACTCAAAATGACATTAGGAGTTTGGGCAGGAAGTAGATATTGAACTGTACCTTTTTATAAAGGCAAGATAAATACTATACACTGTGTAGTTAGGATATACAAAAACTACTTTTATTTCAAGGTCATTGTAAGAACATTACTATAGGTCCCAAAATTTTATTAATTATTGCCATATATTCTGTAATCTTTTAGTCACCATTTCCAAATCCACACATTTTCTCCGTATCAGGGAGCTTTGGTAATTTCCATTTCTACAGATACCTCATTTAGCTTTTAAGGCATTTGAATATATTTGGTAATCTATGCTTACATTGTAGTATCATTCTAGCAATTGATTTAAAATAGAAAAAAACCACGCTAGCCTTTTCTTCTTTAGGAGAACATTTGGAATGCTTTTAAAGCTTAAACCATTACATTATTTTCTGGTGATTGACGAGGAGAATTTGGGTCCTTCCATCGTTTAGCACGGTATAAGTGCATTTTCCAGATCACATTATGTGGCTAATTCCTGATAAACCATTTTGTACCTGCAAGTTATTAGCCAAAAGCCATGAATTCGCCCTATAACTATGCTTGTCATTTAAACAATCAATCCATAATTCCCATTTCATGCTAAACTTTTGTGACTAGACACTTTTTGCTGAAAATCAATACTTGGTTTACATGAATCCATAAGGGATAGGGTGACAGTGGGGGATCTCAGAGCTAAGAAACGACTTAGTATTCAGCTAATTATTCAGATAGGCCTAATCCATTTTCTATTTGAGGGAGCTCTCATCTCTCTGCCACTTAAATGACTTCTCGTTTCCAAGAGTAAAAGTGAGAGAAAAAGAGTAGAAGACTCCTCAATGAGAACTGGACTCCACTGTCTTACGGTCTTAATTCTCCGTTGGTGACAGGCCAGAACCTGTTTTGACCTGGAACTACATTTTCCAGGTCCCTTTATATTGCGAATTCCTGATAGCCACTTGTACTCCTTCACTGTAAACTGAGAGTGGTCTCTGGGCTCCCTGACACCAGCTTTTGACTTTCTTGGATCAGCTTTCATTTGTCAGTGGGGCCAACGTAGTACGTAACGTGGGCGGCAGCTCTGGTAACACTTCCAATGGGCGAACTTTGGGTGGAATCCAGGATGTGAATTTAATGGGTGGAGAGAGGCTGCGGCAGCGTTGAGAAGTTAGCGTGGCCAACTGTAGGAAGCCATGCTTCATTACACCCTGCATGGAAGTCGCTGTACGCTCTCAACCATAGTCACCCACCGGCCAGTGTGGGAAGAGAAGGCTGTGAGGTAGGCTCCCGTGGCCCGGAGATGCCCCCGGGAGTCCCCGCCTGGCAGCTTCGACGAATCCCCCGCGCGCCCCCGCCAGAGCCTGCCCCACCCCCCGGGATCCCTCCAGG